CCCGTCTGCACACCGCCGGCTCGTAACTGCTGCCCCTGGTGGCCAGGGAAAGCCAGCGCAAACGAACGCGGCGGCCTCCAAGTCCGAGGAGGCCAAACGGCCCCCCGGTCCTTTTGGGAACGCCCAGTGATCGGTCAGGCACCCTGAGACCCCAGCGACACAGAAACGGCCAGGCGGCCCCTCCGCATCCCAAAACCCTGGTGAAAACTTGGGCGGGTGCGCACTTCGTGGCCGCAGTGACGTCCAAAGAAGGCTCAGAAAGGGTCCAAGAACACTCAGGAACGTCGATCCTCGAACCTGGGGGGACAGAACGATAACCGGCACCGCTGCGCTCCGGACCCCTCACAGGGTGCGCTCTGACCTGGATTCTGGGGCAAACCCCCAGCCGTGGGGACGACAGGAGGTCCACAAGAGGCGACAACGGATGGCAAAGGCATGCATCCAGAGCTGCGCGGAGCAACATCCTGGCCACCTCGGGGCCACCATCGGCATGTTGAGCCTCCTCTGGGGAGACCATAAGGTACCAATACCGCTACTCCCCGGACCTCTCCCGGGGTGCGTTCTGACCAGGATTTCGAGGAGAATCCAGCGGTGGCGACGACGGAGGCCCAGGAGGCCCACAAAGGGGGAAAAGGGCGAAAAGGGCGAAGGGTAGAGGTATGGGTACCTTCTCCTCCTCTGAATGCGGAGCCTCCTCCGGCCTCAGGGTGGCCGCCCGACCACGGGAGGGAAAAAGCAGCCGCCCGCCGCCACCGCCGCCGGCGGCTGCGAAGGGGCACCGCGCCCCCGCAGGCTGGCCCTCGGCGCGGGCGAGGTTGCGCTCCGGGGCAAGTCCCGCGGCACAGGCGCTCGCCGCAGGCGCGCGCGCACCGGCACGGCCCGTGCAGCCTGGCGTCCCCCCCCCCAAGCCCCAAGCCCTCTCAAGGGGCCCAAGGACACACAAATAAATACACACAAATAAAAGGATTCTCCATATTTTCCTATACTTTCTGGGTGTTTGTCTTCCCGCCCAATTCCCATATTTTTCCATATTTTCTGGGGGATCGACGATTAACTGTGTCTGTGTGTTTTTTCCCCCCCAAGCCCTCATCCCCCTGCTCCACCCATCCCCATCCGCTTCTCTCGACGCCCTCGCCTCCCCCTCCTCCATCCCCTCCCCCCTCCCCCCCCCACTGCCGCCAGGCTGGATGGCTCTGCCCGAGGGCCCCAAAGCGGCCCCTGGAGGCCGAGAACTAACTTCTCGGCCATCGCTCGGACGTCCATTCCCTGTGCTTTTTTCGGTTTCGTGCGTGGTTTTTTCGCCAAATCATCAAGGATACTCCTCGATGGTCCTCGTCGAAGGAAAAATGCACACGTCCGAGCGATGCCAAGACGTGGGATGAACGCACACACCGCGGATAAACCAGTCCGCGAGAGGTTTGGAAAATCCAGAAGATATCCATACCGACACTCCCGAAAACCCTGCTGGGGTGTGCTCTGACAGAGCTTCCGAGACAAGTCCGGACGTGGAGACCAGGGCTCCCCAGGACGCCTGAGGGGGCGAGAACGGAGAACGGGGGGAGGGGAAGGCGGGGTACCGGTATCGGGATATCTTCCTCCTCTGGGTGACGGTGCGCGCGCGCTCAACTGAACGGACAGGCAGCGACACAAAGACGGGAAGTGCAGGGGAAAAACGTCCCACAAAATGGAGGACTGGAGACTCTCGTCGCGCCCGCCAGTCCAAGGCCAACCCCCCAGCCTGAAAGAGGAGGAGGTAAGAGGGGGTTCGAAGATCGATGATGGATGTTTCCGGACGGTATTGGCCCCTCATGGGTCTCCAAAGGCTTCTGGAGACCTTCAGAGAGCTCTGGAGGCATCCCGAGTTTCCTCAGGGCCGCCCCCACCACCCCCCGCGAGGTAGTTAGGAGGCATACCCTCGAATACTGGATCAGAAGATGGCGAAGTATGGCCAGCCCATGCCAGCTTCCTGAGCTTCGCCTCCTTCCCAGCCCGCGGATAGAGGAGGAGGAGGAGCGAGGAGGAGCGAGGAGGAGCGTAGTGGAGCAGCGAGGAGCAACGAGGAGCAGCAAGGAGCAGCAAGGAGTGACGAGGAGCGAGAAACGGCGAGGAGAAGCGAGGAGGCGCGAGGAGGGAGCCTGGGGTCTGGAGGACCGGCGTGCGTGGCGAGGGTCTCCCTCGTGAGGCAGCTGCGCAGTCGCAGCAGGCGCGCCCAGGCTCCAGACTCGAGGAGCGGGCTCGCCCTGGCGACGAACAGGCGGGCCGGGAGCGCGCCAACCACGGGGCCGCGCCCACAGGCGCGGGACCCCGTCTTGGGAGGCCTGCGCGATGCGAGTCGGGGGGCTCTGGACCTCGAGAGAGGGGGAAGGGAAGGGGTCGAGATAGGGAAGGGAAGGGAAGGGAAGGGAAGGGAAGGGAAGGGAAGGGAAGGGAAGGGGTCGAGAGAGAAGGGCAGGGAAGGGGTCGAGAGAGAAGGGCAGGGAAGGGGTCGCGAGAGGCCGGG